CTCTCCTAAATCCCTTGCTTTTCTTTCTTTCTTTCTTTCTTTCTTTCTTTCTTTCTTTCTTTCTTTCTTTCTCTCTCTCTCTCTCTCTCTCTCTCTCTCTCTCTCTCTTTTTAGTTTTTCAAGACAGGGTTTCTCTATGTAACAGCCCTGGCTGTCCTGGAACTCACTTTGTAGATCAGACTGACCTGGAACTCAGAGATCCCCCTGCCTCTGACTCCTGAGTACTGGGATTAAAGGTGTGCCACCACCATGCCTGGCTTGTTTTCCTTTAACAAATACTATTTGTCTATTTGTTTTGAGACAAAGTCTCACTATGTAGCCTTGGCTGGCCTGGAACTTGCTTTGGAGACTAGGCTGGCCTTGAATTCATAGAGATCTGCCTGCCTTGAACTGGTTTTTGTTTGTTTGTTTGGTTGGTTGGTTGTTTGGTTAGTTTTTTTTTTTTTTTTGTTTTTTTTTTTTTTTGAAACAGAGTCTCACTATGTAGCCCTGGCTAGCTTGTGTAGACCAGGCTTGTCCTGCTCACTCACTAACAGATACTTCTTCAGCAGCAGAATGTAAATAGTGTCAGTTATCAGTAGCAGCTCTACAAAATTTTGTTGAAATAGTTCTTTTGTTGCATGAAAGGGTATCCCAAGTTAGCAAGATGGTGCGCACCTGTGATTTCCCGAATCATGAGGTTGAGGCAGGATGACTGTCACAACTTTGAGGCCAGCCTGCTCTACATAGAATGTTCCAGGACAACCTGAGTTATGTAATAAGACCCTGTTTCCCTCCTTACCCCACAAAAAAGGGAGCAAGCACTCTGGCTGTTCCCGGAGCATCATGCCCGTGAGAACAGGAGGCAGCAAGGGATGCTGCTGGATTCTGCCAACTAACTTCCTGTGCCACTCCTTCCCTCCTTTGTACATCTGCGGGTCAGGCATAATATTTTTCCCTCTAATATTATTTTTTTAGTGGAAATGTAGAGACTTATCAGAGAAGAGAGAGGAAGGACAAAAAAGCCCACATTTCTTCCACATTTCAACCAACAACCTCATTTTCTTCCAACAGTTGAAGGGAACTTCTTATGAATAATGGATGGTTGCCTGATGAATATGCACACAGCCCATTATGCCTGTAAGGTCTGGTAAATAATTTATGAGCTAAAATGTTCCTCACCTTGTTACTGTACAAAAACTTAAAAAAGAAAACCCACAGCATATTTACCCTTTGAACCGTAGGGAGATCTGTCAGAGATGGTGACAGCCTTGCAGCTTTACATCTTACATGCTAAAATTAAATAGAAGACACTGTGCATGCATTTCAGGAGGGTATAAAAAACGGAGCATGCTCTGGCTGTACCCCTTGCCTCAGGCATGGTTTCTGAAATTCTGGCTCTTCACCTTAAGGCAGCCTCACGTTCTCAACAGCATGGGTTCCTCCGTGGGCCATTCCCCTCACAGGGCTTCAGTCTGACCTGTGAGATTGACTCTTCTCTCTGGTTTTATGAAAACTGGCCCAGACTGCCTTGGCAATGCTCTGCTGTGCTGCTCTTCACAGCTGAGAGGTCTTCCCCTGGTGACCTGAGCCCCTGCTGTGTCCACCTTTAGCTCACACCCCCTCAGCTGCCCTAGTGGGTACCCTTAACCGGGTGGTGAGAAAGGGGAGGGCGAAGTTGCCCATGCCCGCAAGGGAAGCGTCTAGAGTGCATTTATGGGTCCTGGTAGAACTTGGTTGTTCTATGACGTATTTAACACGACTTGAAACTGGGTTAATTCACAAGTCACAGAAGGTGGGAACCTGAGGTCTATCTGCTAAGAGTCCAGGGGCTTTCTAGGCACCATGTCAAAGAAGGCTCTCGGTGTCCACTGCACCTTTCACAGGTCCAGTGCCTGTAGGAGATGAGAAGGAGGGGAAAGTCCTTGTTATCTATCTTTTAGGCAAACCATATACATGTTCAAGAAACAGAGGTGCTGGCAAAAGACTCAGCGGGTAAAGGCGCTTGATGCTAGGTTCCCTGCTGGAGAGTGATTCCCCAGAATCCACCCACATGGTTGAAGGAGCGAGCCAACTCCTGTAAGTTCTCCTTTGCCCTCCAAGAACATCCTGACACCTCTCTCTGTGTCTCTGTCTCTGTCTCTGTCTCTCTTTCTCTCTCTCTCCCCCCTCTCTCTCTGAGTAAATGCAATAAACAAAAGAAACAATAAATGATCTACAAACTACAAATTATATACAAAGTTACTGGGACAGTGATGTAATTAAAGCAAAAATCCTTTTACAACAATGTGGCATTTGGACTTATAAAGGATTCTTGAAGGAAATAAATCTTCAAAAGAGTTTGCCAGACCCTGGCCCCCCAAAAAAGGTTCAATTAATTAGAAAGAATCCAAGATGTGGGACCCCTGCCTCACGTGGGCCCTATCTATCTTTCAAACCTCCTTTTTGGCAATTCTTCCATTATTTCCTGTGTTCTAGCTTGCTACCCGCAGATGGTCACTTCTCTAGCCCCATCCAGATGCTGAGATCCAAACCCACACATGATGGTATTTGGAGACAACACCTTTGGAAGGTGAGTAGATCATCGGTGCACCCCAGAATGTTTCCTAATCCCTTGCCACCATGTGAGGTTACTGCCTGTGAAGTGGGATCCTGGGTCCTGGGTCCACCATGATCTTCAACGTCCCCACCCTTGAAATTTAATGCTGAGACCATAGTTGTAATTAATTACGCTTCTGAAAGAAGATTTATTTTTATTTACGTATTTGTATGTGTTTCAAGCATGTGCTAGCACCCACCAGGAAAAGGTGTCAGGTCCCCTTGGGCTGGAGTTCCAGGTGGTTGTGACCCACCCTCTGTGGGTGCTGGGATCTGAACTCGGGAAGAGCAGCAGGCACTCTTAACCACTAAGCCATCTTACAGGCCTCCTCCCATCCCCACCCTCTTTTATTTAAATCTTCTCACTGGCCCAGGCTGGCCTGGGAACTCACAGGTAACCAGGCTGGCCTCAAACTCCTGTGTGCTGGCATTATAGGCACATACTACCACCCACAGCTTAATTTGTAGCTGGAGACTGACCCCAGAACTTTGTTCATATAGGCAAGCATTGTACCAACAGCGCTACATCCCCAGCCTTTCTTTTTCTGAGGTGTGTGTGTGGTGTTCTTGGCGTGTGCATGCAGTGTGTGAGTGTGGGTATGTGTGTGGTGTGTGTATGCATGTGTACAGTGTGTGTGTGTGTGTGTGTGTGTGTGTGTGTGTGTGTGTGTGTGTGTGTGACTTGGTTGTCCAGGCTGGTTCCTAATTCACAGGCTCACTCCATTTTCAGCTTCTCCAGTAGCTGGCCCTCCAGGTGGGATGGTGCCCGGCTCTACCTCTTATAACTAAGTTTCATTACTCGCGGGGACTGCCACTGGAAGAGCTGGGATGAAACCCCGAGCTTTCTGGTTCCTGCCCATTTAGTAGCCCTCAGCAGGGCCTCCTCACTGGCCCCAGGAAAACAGCCACAGGCCCACTCTGCCGCAAACTTTAGTGAGCAGAGCCGCTGGTTACCAGGAAGATCCAGGCAACCTGGAGTGTGGCCGCTGGTCAAACTACCCGGTACCTCTCCCCTCTCCTCTCCTAGGCTATGTTTCCTTCCACTGGGGTTTAAGGGACTGTCTGGCGAGGGCTCTCTACTCTCCACTCCCTTTCTCCTAATGCTGCTCCTGCATCATCTACCTCCAGGACCACGGAAACGTGGCTGAGGGTGAGGGGAATCCACCTCTGGATTCATAAACCTCGCCCTCTCCCTTTGCTCTCATTCTCCCTCTTCCCTTTGCTCTTCCTTCTCCTAGTTGTCCATTACCTCCCCAACCTTCCTTCCCCTGTCCCCCAGTCAGCCTCTAAAACCTTCCCTTCCCTTCCAACCCTCCCCACCACAACGATCACCGACACAGTGACTTGCTTTTCCCCGTCACACCAAACTTTGTCTTTCTTTTCACACCTTCTTGTTCTCGACTAGCCGGCTGGCTGTGGGCAGGACCCCGCCCCTCCACGAAGGTGGGAAGGTGAGCAGCGAGCGGCGCGGAGCGTACGGGACCCCGGTCCCCTCCGGGATGTGCCACGAGGGCACCGCTGCTCCCCAGGCCCTGCGCCGCGGAGCCTGAGCGTCGTCCGCGTTCCCGTCCCTCCCCCAGGCTGGAGATAGACGTGAACTTGAGGTTCGCCGTCGAGAAGGGCAGTCGACGACCGGGAGAGTCACAGTCGTCACCGCCCCAATCCTCGGCTGAAGGGAAGGTGACACGGGGTCACCGTTGGACACACTCCAGTCCTACTCTCAGAGAGGGCTGAGTCGAACGGCCCCACAGGCCCTGGGTCCCGATCCCGGCGGGGCCTGGGGGGTCCTCTAGGGTTCCTCCCCACCCCCACGCGCGGTCCGCGGCTCCCCAGACCCCCCCTCCCTCTCCTGACCGCCGCCCCCGGCGGCTGGCGCGGGAGGTGCAGCATGCGGCAAAGCGGTTTGCATAAATTATGCTCATGACGCAGCAGCTAAAAAAATCCAAGTAGCAGAAGGAGGGAAAGGGGGGGAGGAGGGAGGAGGGGGCGAGGAGGGGACTGCACCTGGCCGCCCCCGCCCCCGGCGTCCCGGCCCGCGCGTGGCCCGCAACCCACGGCCGCTCCGCTCTGCCAGCCCCGGCGGGGGGCCCGGGGGGCGGCGGGTCCCGAGTGGCTCCGGGCCGAGCGAGCCGGGCCGAGGCGCTCCGGCTTCTTTGTCTGCGGGCGGCCGCCTGGGCCGCGGCCCCCTGGCCCGGGCTGGGAGATGAGTGTCTAGTCGGTGGCCGCTGGGCAGCCGGGGAGCGGGAGGCTGGGCTTCGGGCTCCGGTGAGTAGCGGGGTCCGGGGCGGGGAGGGCTTTGCACGGAGGGGGAGGGGGCCGGGCAGGGGAGGTTTCGGATTTGGTTAATATGCAATGCCCGTAATTAGCATAATTTATATATTTATGATAAAGAGAGGAAAAAGGCGCGGGGCCGGGGCGGCGGGCTGCGGCCCGGGAGGCGGGCGCGGTGGGAGCCGACGGCCGCGCGCTGCCCACCTGGGGCCGCAGACCCCGGGCCGCGCCCTGGTCCCCCGTCCCCCGCGGACACCCGTGAAGGGGCGGCCGCCAGGTGGACGCCCTGCCCTAGAGCCCGGGTGGGGTTGGGGAAGAGACGCGCAGAGCCCTGGAGACCCGGACGCTTGGGTTCCCCGGCGACCTGTCAACACTCCTCCCGGCAAAGGGCTGGTGGGACTCTGGGGTAGACACCTCGCAGTTGATGCTGGAAGGATGGGGGAGTGGTAGGAGGGTCACCGTCGACCAGAGCGTGAGCACTTCATAAATATTTAATGACAGTATTAGTATTAATAATGTCATAAAACGGGCCCCATGTGTCCTCCCGGGACATTTACACCTGGCAAGGCCGAGGGATCTCCAGAGTGGCTTCTAACCCACTTTAGCGCTGAGATTGCCCCCTCGGCTGGGATGGGAAAGCCTAAAACCTTTACAGAATAGTCTCTGAGGCCGGGCAGAAGGAAAAAAAGCTTGTCAAGAAGCCTCGCTAGGCCAAACACAGGAAGCTCTAGCCGAGATGGAGAAGCTGTAGCCTTTTTGCTCCAATTCCTTGTTCGTAAAGTAGATGATGGTTGATCCTCAGTCCCGTGTGTGTGTGTGTGTGTATGTGTGTGTGTGTGTGTGTGTGTGTGTGTGTGTGTGTGTGTGTGTGTGTGTACCTCGTCCTGTCACTTTGGTGATCTCCGACAGTCAACACTGACTGGCAAAAGGCGCTCTCTGGGTATAGTGGCATGTGATGCGTTTTGATTGAAGTTGGTGCTCAGGGTGATATTTCTGTGACCCGGGACCTCTTTACATATGTGCATTAGAACTACATTCATTCCTTCATTGATTCTATAAAATAACCAGCAAGCGCCACACTAAGACAAAGCCCCACCTGTCCTGGAGTGAGCAAATGGATCATAAACACAAAAACAATCAAATAAAAATGGGGAGCTGGGCGGAGGGGGGGCGGGGAGCGCTGATTTTCTCTTTTCTTCCTTGAGGCACTACCCGGCAACCAGGAAAAGTGAGGCTGTGGTGCACAGCTGTAACCCCAGCAGCGGGAGGATCCAAGATTCACACAGTGAGACTGTCTCAAAAACTAAACACCCAAACAAAAGCCCCAAACCAAACACCAACCTCAATAAATACAAATCAGAAAGGGGGCACTGGCTAGATGGTTCAGCAGGTGAAGACCTTCGCTGCCAAGGCTGCCACTGAGTGTTCGACCCCTGAACCTCACATGGTAGCAGCAGAGAAGCTGTGGCGTGTGTGCACTGAGGCATTCAGGCACTGGCGTACATAGATGTACAGACACAAACTAAGAAATATGTGTCAAAAAGAAGATAAAACAGTAGCAACAGCAAAGGCAACAAAGAAGCCTGGTGGTGGCTCACACCTTTAGTCCCCTCAGTCCCAGCACTCAGGAGGCAGAGGCAGGCGGACCTCTAAGTTTGAGGCCAGCCTGGTCTGTGACGCCAGTTTCAGGACAGCCAGGGATATATAGAGAGACCCTGTCTTAAAAAACAAAAACAAGCCGGGCGGTTGTGGCGCACGCCTTTAATCCCAGCACTCGGGAGGCAGAGCCAGGCGGATCTCTGTGAGTTCGAGGCCAGCCTGGGCTACCTAGTGAGTTCCAGGACAGGCGCAAAGCTACACAGAGAAACCCTGTCTCGAAAAACCAAAAAACCAAAAAAACAAAAACAAAACAAAAACAAAAACAAAACAAAACAAAACAAAAAAAACAAGCAAACAATTCAAGGAAAGAAAGTCTGGAGATACAGTAGAGAGTATTGCATCTGTTCAAATCACATACACACACTCAAAAGCACACACACACATAGACACACTTGAACATGCACACATATACACACCCTAATAAGGAGAAAATACATATCACAAAGTAGAAGAAATTGGTGCTACGTGTAGCCCTTAATGGTGCAGCACTTGCCTAGCATGTACAAGGGTAAATTCAAACCCAGGACTGAAAATTTAAGAAATAAGAAAGAAAAGAAACTTGTTCCCTAACGGTTATCTGCTTCAAGGGAAAAAAAAAAAAAAAAAACAAAAAACCTGGATGTGCTGGCACACACCTTTAATCCCAGCACTGGAGAGGCAGAGGCAAGCTGACCTCTGTGAGTTCAAGGCCAGCCTGGTCTACATAGTGAGTTCCAGGACAGCTAGGGCTATGCAGAGAGACACTGTCTCCAAAGAGAGTGAGAGAGCAAGAGAGAGAGAGAGAGAGAGAGAGAGAGAGAGAGAGAGAGAGAGAGAGGAAAAGAAAATAAAAAAATCATATTTCCCCTCCAAGACTTAATTACTATGCCATTACAACACTAATACTTGGGCTGTAACTCAGTGGTAGAGCACATGCTTAGCATGCACGGGCCCTGGGTCCAACTTCCTGTCCCATAAGTAAACAAGTAAATAAAATCATAATAGTAATCATTCACATTTCATAATACTTTATGATTTGAAACATTTTGTATGCCTGCTTTATTTCAGTTAAAATAATAGCAACAATAGAACTGTGGTTGTAACTCAGTTGGGATAGTTGCCTAGCGTACATGGAACCCTGGGTTCCAGTCCTAAGGCCCCATTAACTAAGTGCCCCTGTAACCCCAGCACTTGGACGGGGAGGCACGAGAACAGGAAGTTCAAGGTCATCTTCAGCTACATAGGGGGTTCCAGGCCAGCCTGGAATACATGCAACCTTGTCTCAACAACAAACTAAACAACATAGAGTGTCTGCATGCGAGGCCCTGGGGTAAATGCCTTACATAAATGTTACCAATTTAAAGTTGGACATAATAGCAGAGAGTGTAGCGGTTACATGATTACCCAATCCAGAAACGTTACCATGGGGGCTGGAGAGATGCCCCACTAGTTGAGAGCACTTGCTGCTCTAACAGAGGACCCACTTTCCATTCCCAGCAGCCATAGGCAGCTCCCTACTGCTAATAAATCCAAAGTAGGAAAATCCGTAGAGAGAGCAGGTAAGTGTTTCCACGGGCTGGGAGGGGCAGGGCCAGCGGCGTTTCTACCATGGATGTAAAATTTCCTTTTAGGTCATTCAGAATGTTCTTGAACTAGAAGTGCCGATGGTTGCACAGCATCGTGAACGTTCAAAATCCCAGCCCGCAGGAGTCAGAGACAAGTGGCTCTCTGAAGTTTTAGGCTAGCCTGGTCTACATAGTGAGTTCCAGTCCAGCTAAGGCTACCTAGTGAGAATCTCTCTCAAAATATAAATAAAATTATTGAAGTGGGTATTGGGGATGCAGCTCAGTGATGAGCACTGGCTAGAACACACCAAGCCTTGAGTTCAGTCCCCGGCATCACAGAAAGGGAGGTGAATGTTACAGTAAAATTATTAAACTGATCGGTTCTCTGCCATGTGAATTTATATTTGTTGGCGCTGCTGCAACAAAATATCATCAACCAGGTAGCTGCTGAACAATAGAAGTTCACCGCTTGTAGTGCTGGAGGCCGGGAAGGCTGAGGTCAAGTTCTCTAGTGCACCTGTTTCCTCAGAGACAAGGGGCGTCTCTCTGGGAAGACTGCCTTCCTGATCTCCTCGTCTCCTGGACACTCCCACCTCTTCCGTCTGTCACCTCGGGGTTTAAGATTCCAGCAGATGAACTGAGAGCGGATGCAAACGTTCAGACCGTAGCAGAACTTTACCTCAGTGTGTGTAAGGCTTGTGGGGCTTCGGCTGTAGCTCAGTGGTAGGACACTTGAGTAGCAGACTCTCGGCCCTGGATTCAGTCCCCAGGACGACAAAAGAAAACAAAAACCTTACAGGAGAAAAAAGTAAAGAAAGGAAAAGAAAAGTAAGGTAAGGGTAGGGAACAGTGCTCTGGGTTTCCTCAAGTGTGACGTGGTGACAATAGCAGCCCCCGATCCCCAGAGTCAAGATGAGTAACATGTCAGTTAGTGTCACATAAAACACTTATCCTACAGTAGATACCCAAACTAAATGTCAATTACCTTTTCTCCTACACAAATGTCTAACCTGTTTGCCTACTTAAAAAAAAAAAATGGCTCCAGCCAGACAGCCTGTCCTCACATGGGGTTCACCCACGCTTGCTTCCTGCACCTGGCGGGCCATGCCACCGGTGGAAACATATTGCCTCCTGTGTACAGGGCAACATGGTCCTTGGGCCATCGCTGCGGATTCCAATTCTGCGAATTGGCCACTGAATCAGAGGCTCCAAGGCCTCCAAGGCCTGTCTAGGAAGTGGCATTTTTAAGACTAGCTCTGGAGTGTGAGAGCATCAGGTTAAATTCTCTCTACTGTCTCCTCAGGAGGCCTGCCCAGGGAAACACTGATGTCCAGACCCCTCTCAACCTTTGCCTAAGGTTCTGAGTGTCTCTTAGCTCCACCTTGGGCTCTTCTGGGTGTGCCATCACCCCTTGGACTAGGGGACCCCAGAGACAGGTGCCCACCCTCTCTGTCCTCTGCCTTCCTAAACACAGATCTTCTGGGTCTCCCTGGGTGTGGGGTGTCCTGGGATGCTAGAGAGAGACAGTCTTCAGAAGTCGTAGTGTCTTCCTTTGTTTCCTTTTCTGTGTTCTTGGGAGAGCTCGGCCTCTCTTTCCCTGCCATTCTATTTCTGACTTTTCCAGATAGTCCGGAAATTCCAACGCTGCGTCACACCAGCCTTTGCTTTCCTGCTCCTATCTTACCCAGAATGCACTAGGTGTGGGCTGGCACCGACGCCGCCGCAGTGACCATGGATCCTGGAGCTGGCTCTGACTCATCTCTGACTGTGAATGAGCAGGTATCTTCAGGAGTGAGAAGTGGGGGTGGCGAGGGTCATGGACGGAGGTCAAGGGAGAAAGACGTATCGGTGCCTCTCATTGTCTGTCTCTCGTTGAAATTTATGATCACTCCACCTGCCCAAAGGCAGTGTCAGCTAGGGTTTCCCAGGGGCTGAGTTTGGGACTTTAAGTTGGAACTTCAAAATTAAAATTAAACTGCACTGGGGGGGCCGGAGAGATGGCTCTTGCAGAGTAAGTGGGCCTGATTCCCAGCACCCACATGACTGCTCACGACCATCTGTAACTCCAGTTCCAGAGGATCCGATGCCCTCTTCTGGCCTCTGAGGGTACTACATGCATGTGGTGTGCCTACATGCATACATGCAAGCAAAACACCCATACACATAAAATAAAAAGTAAGATCTCAAAAAACTGTTGAAGTATACAAATACCTATACATGTTTGAAAAGGTGATGCTTTTTTATGCTTCTACATATTTTCTGTCATTTCTAAAATGACTACTTATGTGTTAAAAGAAGAAAGCAAATCAGCATCTCTTGAAATGTAATCGTAGTGAAACCCCTCAGAGGTCAAAATTGAGTCTGCCAAAGGAACCTGCTTTGGTATATCTTCATTCCTCTTGATGGGTCCCCCAGTGCCTGTTCTGGCACAGTCTATGGCCACAGCCAGTTTTCAGGGCACAGTGTTGTTCCAGGCACTGTTGATGGCTGACACAAAGCTTTTTCATGTGTGGGGTTCAATTGGTATTCTTCCCCAACCCCTGGAGCTGAGGATCGAACCCAGGGCCTTGCGCTTGCTAGGCAAGCACTCCACAACTGAGCTAAGTCCCCAACCCCCAGTTGGGATTCTTTTTCTTTTTTTTTTTTTTTTTTTTTTGGGGGGGGGGGTTTTCGAGACAGGGTGTCTCTGTGTTGTTTTGGTGCCTGTCCAGGATCTCACTCTATAGACCAGGCTCCCTTGAACTCACAGAGATCCGCCTGGGTCTGCCTCCCGAGAGCTGGGATTAAAGGCTTGTGCCACTACTGCCTGGCCCCAGTTGGGATTCTTAAGGGCCAGGATGGCACATTTCAGTGGTGGTATAAAGAACTTTGTGCAGGATGTTTGAGCAGGGGTTCATGGGAGGTGCCCTCTCAGTCTGAGAACACCTACGGAAATGAGACCATGGGAACCTTGAACAGGTCAGGGTGAGGCAGGAAGAACTGCATTTTGGGGGTTCTTGACCCTTCTTTGGGGAAATTAGCTTGCAGGGAACATCTGGTATCCCAAGTTTAGAAGTTATTCAAGGGTTGGAGAGATGCTTCCATGGGTAAAGCATTTGCAGCATAAGACAGCCTGAGTTAGAGCCCCAGGACCCACATAAGAAAGCTGGAGGTAGTGATGTGTATCTCAAACTTCCTCCCGTGAGACAAGAGAACCTCCTGGAAGCTGAAGTAAGTACCCAGCCTGGCAGGAGGAAGAGACCCCACCTCAGAAAGGTAAAAGGAGAGAATTCCTGAAAGGTGCATGAGTACTGTGGCATGTGTGTATACACACAGAGAGAGAGAGAGAGAGAGAGAGACACACACACACACACACACACACACACACACACACACACACACACACACCATTAATGAAGAAAATAATCCCAAGTTGCTGAATACTGAGGAGCACTCACTTCCCACACCCCACACCCCGGGAACCATCAGGTGGTCTCTAGGGGAAGTTAGGACAGATTTCTTCTGGGTCTCCATCCTCCATTATGAGTACTCGTATCTCAATATCCAAGAGGATGCTCTTGCAAGCTCGAGGAACAAACCATTTTCCACTTCCTGAGCTAAGTCCAAGATGAGGAGCAAACAGAAATACCTCCTGACAGTTTGGCTCTGTGGGACTTTTCTTCCTACCTCCAGGATCTGCTTGCTTCTAGCAGCTCCTTGTTGGGAATCACGGACAGTAGCCTGGGCCAAATTCTGGCTTTCTCAGAGTGCCCCATTCTCTGGATAAGAGCTGCGTCCTGAATCCCCCATCCCTCTCCTGGTCATGCCCAGAGCTCTGGTCCCTTTCCCTAGCACTGTCTCACATCCTCTACTTGCAGGTCATTGTGATGTCAAGCCATGAGACCATCCGAGTGTTGGAAGTCGGAGTGGATGCTCAGCTCCCGGCTGAGGAGGAGAGCAAAGGACTGGAGAGTGTGGCCGCTGATGGCACCCAGAGTGGAGGCTCTACTGAAGCCAGTGAACCTGGTGGTGAAGCTGGGCCGCACGACCCAGACCGTTCTGCAGAAACAACTGGTATGAGGCTATTGCTTTAATCCACTACTGCTCTCATGTGTCCCTTGTAGGCCCAGGGGGCATTAGGGTCTTATCTTCCGGCCCACTTGGCAGCCTTTGGCGACAGTCCATACTTCTGGCCACTTTCCAGGAATACCCTGCCCTCCTTGTAAATGGAATTGGATTCCTTGCAGTCTCACCCATGCCTGAACTGAGATGGCCCAGGGTGAGCATGTTCGGCCTAGAGAGGGTCCTAGGTCCACACCAGACTGTCAAGTCAGCGTAGGAGAGACTGGCCTCAGGACCCCACCAGGTTTCCAACTCAATCCCGTTTGTAGCAGAGCTGGGAGTTCCGGGAGCCGATTACAGGCATGCACTTCCAACCTCGGTGTGCTGCCAAGTCTGGCTTTGTCTTGCCAGGTAGTGTATGGCCCAGGCTGGTCAGGAACTCATTTTCAGTTCTCTATTCTTCTGCCTCAGCCTCCCGCACACTAGGATTAGAGGCAGGAATCACACTGCTGCCTATGGTCCAGCTTTGGACTAGGCCCTCATAAAAATCAGTGTTTCCTTTCTCTACGGCAGGCTTGTCTCCCTGTCACAAGCCCATTTTCATTGCTTCTTTTCATTGATTTATTTATTATTTACGTGTGCGCACGCGCGCGTGCACACGCACACGCACATGTGAGGGCCATAGGACCACATACAGAGTTGGTTCTCTCCAGCTTCCAGGTGGTTCTGCGGATGGTGCTCGGGTTCGACTTGTTGGCAAGAGCGCTCACGTGCTGAGCCGTTGTGCCAGCCCCACGTCCCTGTTTTCTTATGTTCCATTACTTTTTTGTCCAACAAAGTGGTTTTCACTTTTCCTGTGTTCAGATGTCCCGAGTGCCCTGGGTGTTCCCGACAGTTGACAGCCCGACTTCCCTTCACGGGGGAGGGACCCGACACTTGCTTTTCTTTTTCTGGTTTGTAAGGCCTGCGTCATATGTGGGTCTCCAGTTCCTTCAGCTGTCTGGGTTTTATCATTAGGCTCCGGGAACAGTTGTATGCTTAGGTTAAGGTGATTCCAAAGCAAAAACAAAATCCCCCAAATACAGAAAAGCATAGGCTGGCGCTGCAGAGCTGGGCAGGGCCTTAAGGTCACCTGACAGTGCAGCCCACTCTGTGGGCACTGGGTTCCAAAGGAGCTTTAACATGGTGGGCTTGGGGAGAGGAGAGAGATTGATTGATCGATCAATTGATTGATCGATTGATTGATTACCGGTCTCTATTCTTGATATACCAATTCAGGCCTGGGCCTGAAAATGTATGCCCAGCTAGGGCGTATTAAGTAGCCCTGCCAGATGGTGGTGGTGCACACCTTTAGTCCCAGCACTCAGGAGGCAGAGGCAGGTGGATCTCTGAGTTGGAGGCCAGCCTGGTCTACAGAGTGAGTTCCAGGGCAGCCAGGACTACACAGGGAAATCCTATCTCAAAAACAAAGAAACAAACAAAAAAACCACTGATATGTCCAACATCCATCACCCAATAACTAAATTCTACTTTTCATTATTTGTTCATTTGTTTGTTCGCTTGCTTTTTTTGGCCATCTGTCTGTCTGTCTGTCTATCTATCTATCTATCAATCTATCTATTATCTATCTATCTATTATTTTTCAGTGCCATGAATTGAACCAGGCAAGCAGTCTACCGTCATGCTGTATCCCCAGCCTTAGATTCATATTATTGTCTGGCTTGTGAAATGATAGTTGTTGGTTGTTTTTTTTTTTTTTTGGTTTTTTGGTTTTTCGAGACAGGGTTTCTCTGTGTAGCTTTGCGCCTTTCTTGGATCTCGCTCTGTAGACCAGGCTGGCTTTGAACTCACAAAGATCTGCCTGCTTCTGCCTCCCGAGTGCTGGGATTAAAGGTGTGCACCACCACTGCCCGGCTGAAATGATAGTTTTTAATCTCCCTGTTGTGTGGCTGTGATGAGGTTTCCTGGCAGAGCACCCCAATTCCTGAATTGGCCAAGCAAGAAGAGGTGAAAAATTGCAGTTCATGGAACATTCTTTTGGAAACTCATAGAAACTGCCTTTTTTGACTAAAGACTTTACAGAATAGTGGGGAAGGCTAAGTGGCCTGAGGAGCTCCTGTCACACTACAGTGTGACAATGATATGCCTGCCCAGTTTTCAGGGACTTGCCCCTTCCCCAAGTGTCTAAAAAATTGGCCTAGATGAGCTAAGAAGCAGGTCAGTTGCTGGCTGAGCCCAGGACAACTGCTTTTTGCTCTCAGATCCAGCTTTTCCCTCCCTGACATGCATTTGCTTCAGGCTCCTGGATGCTATGTGACAGACCACAGTGTCCTACAGAGCCAGGAAATAATGAGCAGAACCCGGCATTTCCTTCCACTAGATGTGGGAAGAGAATACCCACATTCTAGGTCTGGCCCAGAGCTCTCCAGTCATTACTGGCAACATTTGGGAAGCTGCCCCACGGGCCAGGGAAGGCAACCAGCTGGCCCTAGACTATATGCAGAAGCACAGCGTGGGTTTGCAGAGATGTTCTTCTCCACCCACCTCAGTCTCACTCCCGTCCTTCTTTCTCTCTCAATGCCACGTGAAGTGAAGTCTCTCCCCGGGATCCCTCCAAGTCCTGCCCCAGCCATCGCCACCTTCAGCCAAGCCCCAAGCCAGCCTCAAGCATCACAGACCCTGACGCCACTGGCTGTACAAGCTGCCCCCCAGGTAAGGGCCGCGTCAGGGAGCCAGACAGAGGGCAGTGGGCAGGAGCAAGCACAGGGTGGCCATGGGCTTGGGCACTGCGTGAGGCAGGGCAGGAAAGAGGCTGTGGCTGGAGAGAGGGGATGTCCCACTAGGTATCCCTAGGATGCCCCTGCCCCAGAGCAGGCCCATTGGGAAGGAGAATGTGCTATTGCCGGACATCTTCCCTGGGTCCAGAGAGGGCTGGTGTTGACTCTTTCCTGAGAGAGTTTGTGCCTATCTAATGATGGAATGAGTAAGCACCCTTGTCAGCGCCGCCCCCCCCCCGACCCCCACAACACCCAGCAGAAGAGTTAATGCCTTGAAGAGTTAATGAATTGTCCAGTCTTCAGTTAAGTTATAAAACTGCCCAACCGATGAAAAGCTGCCTGTAGAATCCCGCAGGCCAGCAGAGCCTGGGCGACCTCTGCTCGTACACCGACCTCCAAGGCTTCCGGTCAGGGTGCCCTTTAGAGCTTCTGGGAGGCCTCTGTGGGCCCTTGAGCATTTGGTAGCAGTTTCCGGTCCCTGTCCCCTGACCACAAAACAGTGGACACACCAAAGGGCCAGCTCTGAAAACACACATACAAGTTACACACACTGGACTGGTTGCACCTAGGGGTTTAGGAATATACGTATACACACACACACACACACACACACACACACACACACGCACACACACACCCACACGTATATATACGTGATATATATGATATATATCACCAATTAATAAAAAAAGAGGCTGTATGAAAGAGAATAAGGAGGGGCATATTGGAGACTTTGGAGGGAGGAAAAAGAAAGGGGAAATGATGTGTTTATAATATAATCTCTGAAAATAAAAGAAATCATAAAAAAGAACAAACACTGTACATACAAATGCACCCCGGGGAAGGTTTGAGAGGCCGCAGACTACGGGTTGGAGGAGGCCTGTACACCCTGCCCTGCCCTGGATACAGGCCGGGCCTTTCCTGGGCAGCTTCTCTGCAGGCAGCGTAGTCTGATCCAGACACCCACGGGGTTAGGCCTTCAGCCAGGCACTTCCTGCTTTCCTCCGGCCTTTGCCCCACTGCCCTCAGAATGCTAGTTTGTGCTCAGCTGGGTCCAAGAGACCCCTCGTTTGCGCTGCGGATGTTGATTTTTTTTTTTATTTTTTCTTTTCTTTTTGAAATCTCGTTTGCTTTTGCAGGTCTTGACTCAGGAAAACTTAGCCACAGTTCTGACAGGAGTTGTGGTTCCGGCAGGGGCGGTTACTCAACCTCTTCTTATCCCCATCAGTATTGCAGGTCAAGTGTCTGGGCAGCAGGGGCTGGCCGTGTGGACAATCCCTACAGCAGCCGTGGCTGCCCTCCCCGGACTGGCCGCTGCTTCTCCTACGGGGGCAGTCTTCAAGCCGCCTTTAGCTGGGCTCCAAGGTAACGGCAGCTCTCCCCAGGACTGCACCAGGCCCCCACCACCCTACACTGCCACCCCTGCACGGGGAGTACTTACCATGTTGGACTCAGAACCTGCAGCCCACCCAGGGCAACAGCCCTGGATTCTGGATCCAGTGTCATAAGCACCCAGCCACAGAGCCGCTGCACCTCCTCGGGACTCTAGGCCAGGACACCAGGCTGGCCAGCAGGCCTGCCTTCCTTCAGCCAGCTGCTTGAGACTGCCCCGCCCCCCGCCCCCCTCCACCAGCCTCCACCCCATGACCAGCGAGAAGGAGACTGCAAGAAGAGTCGACGTCTGTTTCTCGAACCTCCATGTCTGCTGCTGGCCCAAGGGAGGGGGGATGAGAGATGTTGGCATGTGCCAGCCCTTCAGGCATCAAGGGAACCGCAGCTGCCCCACGCCCACTGCCCCCAGGGCCCTGCCATTTTTGTGCCCGATCCCTTGGGACTGGAGCCGCGCCGGGGTCGTGGCTAGGCGCTTGAGCACCTCTGTCTCTGCCTTGCTCCGTAGCAGCCGCCGTGCTGAACACCGCCCTCCCGACACCTGTACAAGCTGCCCCACCGGTCCAGGCCTCCTCGCCCGCCCAGCCCCGGCCACCAGCTCAGCCCCAGACGCTGTTCCAGACCCAGCCGCTGCTACAGACCACGCCTGCCATACTCCCACAGCCCACTGCCGCCACTGTCGCCGCCCCCACCCCAAAGCCAGTGGACACCACCCCGCAGATCACCGTCCAGCCCGCAGGCTTCGCGTTTAGCCCGGGGATCGTAAGCTGCTGCTGCCCTCACCCAGGGCTCAGAGGGATGGATCAAAGCTTGGGCCAAGGGTGGAACCTCCCCCACAGTGGAGGACCAGCCCCTTGAATACAGCCATTTCCGACACATCAGCAAAGATGGTCTCCCTCTGAGGTCTCCTTACACCTGTCAACTTGTCCTACCCAGACTAAAGCAAGCGACAGCTGGGGACATGCTCCAAACAGGAACCACTGGACCAGCCTTGGGGGTGGGATGCACAGGAGCATGACAGCTTCATGCTGGCATCTATCCGGGGTGGCTCTTGGTTTGGGAGTAGAGATGTCAGGCATGACGTGGAGCACATTTGTCCCTCTAAGTCTGGCCATCTACCCTCTCAGACTTAGTTGGAAAAAGTAGTAGGAGTCACTGTTCTGCGCCCCTCCCCGGCTGTCCCCCTGTACTTGTCCCCCTAGCCTCAAATATTCAGCCAGTGGACATGGTCCTGCAGCCCACACTCACCACTCAATGCCCTCAGCCCCCTTGCCTCTCTCTGGTCTTTCCACCGCTTGGCCTCTGAGCAAGGCTCTTCCTCTACCCACAGATCAGTGCTGCTTCCCTCGGGGGACAGACCCAGATCCTGGGCTCCCTCACTACAGCTCCAGTCATTACCAACGCCATTCCCAGCATGCCGGGGATCAGCAGTCAGATCCTCACCAATGCTCAGGGACAGGCAAGTGTTCAAAGCCGGGGCTGAGGGGTGGTGGTCGTGGGGCAGCTGGCTAGGTAGGGGTGAGGACTTGGCCTTCGGTCCTGTCAGCAACACTCAGATAGGGTATCGGGCTGCTGCTTATAGCCTCTGCAGCAGCCCTCTGCTGGCGTGAGTCCAGGTGGGGTGCTGGCGCCACGCTGCCCCGGCAGTTAATTCTAGTTGGGAGATTTTATTCACTTACTTCCCACTTTGTGGGCCGGCCTCGTGCTAGGAGCTTTCTCACGTATTATCTCACGTGGTTTGGAGTACAGACCTATCAGGGGATCTTTTGTTTTATGAGAGAGAAGGATGAAATTCAGAAATACTAAACTGCGCAGTTAAAATGTGGCAGACTAGCGAAGAGCTAGCTTCCAGTTCTCTGATACGCAGAAAAGCCTTCGCCTGGAACTCCACAGCTCCAGGGACAGAGCAGAGAACCCCTGGGGTGTGAGTCCTTTACTCTGTTGAGGAAGAGGAGGCCAGAATGCTTACAGTTCCTTGAGTTAATCTCTTGGCCTGCAACTGTGGGGATTTGAATTGGTGGTCCTGGATGCACCCCACACACACACCTCATATGCGGGGACCATGCTTTATTTTCTCCCAGGTTATTGGAGCACTTCCATGGGTAGTGAACTCGGCCAGTGTGGCCACACCAGCACCAGCACAGAGCCTGCAGGTCCAAGCCGTGACTCCCCAACTCTTGTTGAATGCCCAGGGCCAAGTGATCGCAACCCTAGCCAGCAGCCCCCTGCCTCAACCTATGGCTGTCCGGAAGCCAAACACACCGGAGTCCCCTGCTAAGAGTGAGGTACCAGGGCTGGGGGTGTGGATGGGCATGGGAAGGCGATGCTGTCTAGCATGGCTACTTCCCTCAGAAACTTCCGGGAGAACAAGGGAGGAGCCCCCCCCCCCCACACACACACCAGCAGAAGGCTTATATGAGTTCACACACACCCCGCCCAGGGAGACAGCACCCATTCTCAGCCCACCACATACCACAACATGTGTCTGTGCCCACAGAGGTCAGAGAAGGTGGGAAATAAGTGAGCAAAGCATATTGGGCACTGATCATCCTTTGGGCGAACAAACCGCTCAAGAAAACCCTGGGGGCCGAATTCTGTACCCCACCACCACACATCAGGCCCTTCGACTCTTGTTTCCGTTCTAGAAGAGATTTTGAGTGCCTGTTGTATTCCAAATGCTAAGGATGCAGAGATGACTGAGATTGCTTGGTACCTAGGATGCCTTAGGTAGCTCAGTGTTGCAGGTATTTACAGGTCAGCATTCAAAAGACTGTGACGGAGGGAGGCATGAACAAGGGGCTGAGGTACCCCACAAATGACTGACAGGCTGGGGTCAGGATAGCTCCAGAGAGGAAGGATGAGTTGCATGTAGTGTGTGCTGTCCCTGGGAACTGGGACAAGCGTGGTAGCCAGTGCGTGGTTCTCAGACTTGTGCGCTGGGGTCTCCTGTAGGGCTGAGTTTCTTTTCCAGTAGATCTGAAATGAGACCCAAGGATATGCTGAGTTCCCAGATGACGTTTAGACCGTGATTGTCTAATACTATATGTTGCTTCCAAGAAGCTTCTAAATGACCTCTTAGCCTCAGCTGTAAGACAGTGGTTATCAGAATTCCTTTCTGCAGGGTGGTGATGGTGCACGCCTTTAACCCCAGCACTCAGGAGGCAGAGTCAGATAAATCTCTGAGTTCGAGGCCAGCCTGGTCTACAGAGCAAGTTCCAGGACAACCAGGACTACACAGAGAAACCCTGTCTCAAAAAACAAAAACAAAACAGCCGGGCGGTGGTGGCGCACGCCTTTAATCCCAGCACTCGGGAGGCAGAGCCAGGATCTCTGTGAGTTCGAGGCCAGCCTGGACTACCAAGTGAGTTCCAGGAAAGGCGCAAAGCTACACAGAGAAACCCTGTCTCGGAAAAAAAAAAAAAAAAAAACAAGAAAAAAAAAGACTTAAGTTTGGGGGCTGGAGAGATGGCTCAGCAGTTAAGAGCACTGGCTGCTCTTCCAGAGGACCCAGGTTCAATTCCCAGCACCCCAGTGGCAGCTCACAACTGTTGGTAACTCCAGTCCCAGGGTACCCATCACCCTCATACAGATATACACACAGGCAAAACACCAATGCACATAAATAAATTTAAAAAAAAAAAAAGAATTCCTGCTTCTGTCATGTGGGGTGGTGCACATCTGTAATCTCAGCCAGCCTGGGCTATGTAGGGAGTTCAGTTCCAGCTTGGGTTATGGGATGCGTTTTCAAAACACAAAAACAAAAATAAAACAAATGAAAAAAATCTCTCCAGAGGTTTATGAATATTACACCAAGGAACCGACACTCTGATATACAATCCGCTTCTGATGGTTGTTATAGAGGGAGCTGCTGCCGGGCTTTCAGTGGCTGACAGATGTGCATCTTAGAGCCCCTCCCCTCCCCAACCTAGGTGGAGTCAAGGACGCTGTGACCTGTTAGTAGTAGGCAGCTTATGTTTTCCTTTTTTGTCTGTGGTGCTGGGGACTGAACCCCAGGGTCTTGTCATGCCCAGTACAGCATCGTTGTTCTGTTCTCTCGGCCCTGGTCATTCCAGGGAAAGACTAAAGCCATGTCCTGGGGACTACGAGACAGGTTTGAGAGTTGGCAGGAGGCAGAATCCAAGGAACTGAAAATCCAGGAAAACCCGCATTTCCTAAAAAGCTTATGGGTTTTTGTTTTTGTTTGTTTGTTTGTTTTTGAGACAAGGTTTCTTCGTGTAGCCCTGGCTATCTGGAACTCGCTCTGTAGACCAGGCTGACCTCGAACTCACAGAGATCTGCCTGGCTCTGCCTCTTGAGTGCTGGGATTAAAGGCGTGCGCCACCACCCCCACCTCACCCCCCACCCCCCACCCCGGCTAGTTCTGCTCTTTGATGGCCACAGGTGGGACTGCCTGGGTAGGTAAGAATTTCATGGCCATGTCTGTCCTGGTGCTATTCCCTCCGGGGATTGTGCCCCCTGAGTTAGGCAAGGGTCCTGAGGTTTGTGTCTCTTCTCATAGGTGCAGCCTATCCAGCCGACACCAGCGGTACCCCAGCCTGCCATGGTCGTCACCAGCCCGGCCTCAGGCATCAAGCCATCGGCTTCGGCTCCCATCCCCATCACCTGCTCAGAGACCCCAACTGTCAGTCAGTTGGTATCGAGTAAGTGATTCTTAGAGGAGGCATGTGGATCTGGGATGCCTGGCACACACTCTAGCTCCAGCTGCTCAAGAGGCTGGGACCAGAGGAGTTTTTGAGCCCAGGAGTTGAAGGTCAGCCTAGTGAGAGCCTGTCTTAAATAAATCCATAAATTCCCTGGTTGTCCAAAAGGAAAGGGTAGAGGCCCAAATGGAAAGATAGTAACTTTCAATTTTCTTTTACATTTATTTATTTGTTTGGGGTTATGGGTGGGACATGAGCAACCGCAGTGTGCATGTGGGTCCTGGGGATTGAACTGGGGTCCTCAGGCTTAGTGGCAAGTGTGTTTATCACTGAGTCTCTTGTCCTCTACCAAGAGATGGCTTTCTTACTCCCTTTCCTGTTGGGGTGGCTGTGAGCATGTTGGAAGTGGAGGCTGCTTAGCCGTCTGTCTGGTTACAGTGTGCCATTGGCTGGCTCAGTGTGGTCCCTCAGCCAGTTCTGAGGAATACAGATGGCCGACAGGTGTGCCTGGGACTAGAGGAGGGAGCATGGAAGAGGGTCAGCAGTCAGTCCCGGGAGAATTTAAAAATAGACTACCTCAGTAGGTCGGTCTAGAGCCTTTTCCTACAAGTCCTGCTTGTCTGGAGGACATGGTGATGGGGGTCTTTGGGTAAGTGCCCTCGTCCCTCTTACTACACCAAAGGAGCAGTGATGAGTCTCGGCTCCATGCGCTCATCTCTGGTCCTTCCCTCTGGCCTAGAGCCTCACACTCCAAGCCTGGATGAGGACGGGATCAACTTGGAGGAGATCCGGGAGTTTGCCAAGAATTTTAAGATCCGGCGGCTCTCCCTAGGTCTTACACAGACCCAGGTGGGCCAGGCTTTGACTGCGACAGAAGGTCCAGCCTACAGCCAATCGGCCATCTGCCGGTAAGTGTGACTATCCCAGGATAAAGCCAAGGCCTGCTCCGTGCCATAGCCGGCTCTCATGGGAATCCAGGCATCCGGTCCTTTCCACATTTCCCTCATGCTGCCCGCTTCCACATAAGGAAGACTGTCCTGTGGGGGGCATGGACACTTGGAGTAGCCAGAGACTGAACCAGGCCTTCTCGAGTTTAGATAGACTCCAATCCTGAGTATTTAGCAGCTCACCTGAGGGGGGCTATTGATGAATCCTATCAGGAAAGGATTATCACTTATGAAAGTGGTCTGTCTTGGCCCTTGGCTAGTCAATATTCTGGCGTGCTCCCGGCGTGCTCCCGGCGTGCTCCCGGCTGTCTTGCCTGCCAGGCCTGCCTGTCGGCTCAGCTTGAAGATGCAGCTGGCTTTGTTCTGATGCTGCCATGGGAGCCTAGTGAGAGGAGCGTGGCCCTCATCCCTGGAGGCCATTCAAGATGACCCCTCAGAGGACGGAAGTCATTTGGGGGGAAAGTTCATGTCAAGTTAGAGCCCACTTGTCATTTACCTGCCTAGCAGAGACTCTGGGCGTCGTCTTCTTCTTGAGGCCTGGAATATGGAAAGTCTGAGGAATCTGGGCTTTGAGGGGCCTGGAGGGTGGGACCGCTGAGTAGGAGGGGAGCTGCCCCTGTGAGTAAATGTCCAGAGAAGAGATAGCTACACTGTCTCTGCTCCTTCTCCAGGTTTGAGAAGTTGGACATCACACCCAAGAGTGCCCAGAAACTGAAGCCAGTTCTGGAGAAGTGGTTGAATGAGGCGGAGCTCCGGAACCAGGAAGGCCAGCAGAATCTGATGGAGTTTGTGGGCGGCGAGCCCTCCAAGAAACGCAAGCGGCGCACCTCCTTCACACCGCAGGCCATAGAGGCTCTCAATGCCTACTTTGAGAAGAACCCCCTGCCCACCGGCCAGGAGATCACCGAGATCGCTAAGGAGCTCAACTATGACCGTGAGGTGGTACGGGTCTGGTTCTGTAATCGACGCCAGACACTCAAAAACACCAGCAAGCTGAACGTCTTTCAGATCCCCTAGGGCTTCGTCTCAGCCCTTGTTCCAGCACTTTCTACTCTCCCCTCAGCTACCGGCTGCCGTGGCTGCAGTGACAGTCCCGTGTGCAGCTGTGCGCAGCTGTGCTTGCCCTGGGTCATGAGACCTCACCTGTGCATGTGTGTCAATGCCTGCCTCTTCCGCCCACATATGTCACACCCTGGGGAGGCCCAAAGGGCTGCATGAGAGACCTAGGCTCTGGGCTGGGCACATGGAAGGAGGGGATTTGTGATGTCCTTTCAAAAAGCACTTTGCCAACATGGTTTCTGAAGGGTGAATTCTGGTTGGGAACCAGAAAGGCTCTGTCTTTGGGACAGGGCTGTAGCAACTCTTGGGGACCACTGTGCGTTAGCTCTTGTTTTTGGTGGCACTCACCACCCCTTGCCCTTGGCTCCTCTGTGGCTGTCCCAGTATGACAGCTCACCCAGTGAGATCTCAGCCTCACACTGCCCTCCTTTACTTTGTACACGGGCACATTGAACCCTTTAAAGGACCAAGGAGATGAAATTCAGAGACGTGTGATTCACTGTCTGCCTTGACCTCAAGGGCGGAAGGTCCCCGAAGCTGTGAGGTCAGGTACCATGAGGTCCCTCCCGGGGTCCTGGGGGTGGCGGGTGTGCACGAAGCAGAACCTTTTCCTCTGCAAACCAAGTTGGAAGGGAGGCACAGCGAACTCTCCCATCCTGGAGAGTCTTGGGTCTGTTGTAGGTCTGGAATTCAGTAAATAAGGCCATCCGCCCAGGTTTCAATCTAACCTTCCTCCGTGGCTGTCCCCCAACGAAAGCTCTCTAAAGAGAGCTCTCAGCTTGGGGACATTTCCACTTCCGCAGGCAGCTGCAGGGGGCACGGATACCGGCTTTCTCCCTCTCTCTTATGCCCATACCCGTCTCAGTCCAGTACTGAAGTCTCTTTAAAGGAGCAAACTGAATGATAAGCCAGACAGCAAGGGGCTGGAGTCTGGAGGGGGACAGGATCCAGAAAGCTGGTGGCCCAGGAAGATCTCGCCGAGGCTGACTTACCTCTAGTTTCCTCTGTGACTTTAAGTCTTGGATGTTGGTTTCCTCTCACTCTGTCCGATTGAAGACCAAGTCTGTGTGTGAGCAACTCCTATCCCCACGCCCCTGCAATGCTCCTGAGCCCTGAGGGCCCCAGGTCGGGATGGACTTTGCCTCTGTAGGTGAAGGCATGCTGAGGGCTGGCATCATATCCAAGTCACTCAGTGAGCTTCCGGCCACAGGGAGGCTGGCCAGCCTTTTCGCTTCAGTGTGTCAGCTGGGGAATGTAGCTCAGCGACAGAGAACTTAGCATGTGCAAGGCTCCAGATCAGTTTCTAGCACTGAGGAGGGGGGTGGGGGTGGGAATCAGTATTTGGTTTCAGGAAGCCAGGAAAGAGCTAAGATGTTTGCCCGAATGACCCCAGACTTGCTGTGTAGACTGTCCCTGACAGGCTACAAGCTGCAGGGGTTGACCATTTAACCACTTTTGGTTTGGTTTGCTATTTTGTTTTTTGAGATAGAATCTCACTTAGCCCAGGCTGACTTCAAACTTGTCGTTGAAAATGACCTTGAACTCCTGATCCTCCTGTCTCCACATCCCAAATGCTGGGATGACAGTCATGTACCACCGTGCCTGGCTCTTCTCTACTCTTAGCCTTACAGAGCCTGCTCTCCAGCTGATGCCCACCCTGTACCTCCTGTGATCTGCTTGAGGAGGTGACAGTTAAACAAAGACACTCCGGTCACAGTGCGGACACCGGGGCCTAGCTTCCTCTCTGACACTCTGTTTCCTTTCCTGATGACGGCGAGTCCTCTTGGGTCCTGCAGTGGCTGTGTGGAGGACCTCCTGGTGGCGCTGACCGTGAGATGGGGACAGTTGTGTGCTGAATCAACACACACACACACACACACACACACACACACACACACACACACACACACACACACTTCACTGCATTCAAATCAACCAAACCTGCTGGAGTCTGTCGGGAACAAGGAGGCAGGTGGGCAGCTTTCCTGACTTGCCTACCAGGACAGACTGCCCCAGAGGGAGAAGCGCCGTATCCTAGATTGTGTTTGTCAACCTGCTCCCATGAGACGGGCAGCCAGGAGGGGGCACTGTATGTGAGTTTTCAGTAGGGATGCTTACATCCTGGGGCTTATCAAAGTGACTCATCGGAGGAATTATATGCAGCTTTTCTTGCTCAAAACCTCCACGCAGGAATGCTTTTTTGTGTATGGGTAGCATGTAATATGAAGTGTGGCCATGCTGTGAACATACAAGAGGATACCATCTGTTCTGTGGCATGACAGGAAACAAAAAAAAATCGCAAATCACTGATCTAAATTAAGCCTGGCTGTGCCATGCTAGAGTAAACCATTTTCGCCTGCGTAGGAAAGACACATTGGTCATTCAGAAGAACAGTACGTGCGAGAGCCCGGATGTTTACAGGATCTCTCAAAGGGGGTGGGGGTGCAAGGTATGCATAAAGTGTACCCAAACTATAGTTCACTTTGGTCTGTGAACTCTGCCTCTCTCTGCTCCCCCAACCTGAGCCACTAATCTATCTACAAGGCAGTTTTTGTTATTGTTGGAGGTTGGGTGGCATTGGGCTCTAAAAAAGAACTAATAGTTTTATTTTGAAAGCACCTTCCTGGACTTAAGCCTGTGCCCAATGGCTTTTTTTTTTTTTTTTTTTTTTTTTTTTTTTTTTTTGCCCTGAAAGATAGGAGAATGGGCAGAAATCGGTTAACTGTGGTTGGTTAGTTTTAAGTGATGGCAAACTAGGACTGTCTATGGCCCACTGAATCAGCTGGGCCCTTTGACCCTGCGCTAACTATGGATTTTATCCAAGCAAAGTCCAGAGAAGAAACTGGTCACATGAACTGTAAACGCACTTGAGTTTGGAATGAGAAGGCCTGATGTGTTTGTGTTCTTGAAAATCCAGTCACCTTCCTATGCCCAGGGTTCCCTCCCTGCCTCCTCGGCCAGAATCCGGCCTTGAAGTCCTGATGGTCTCCCAGCATGGGGCACTGCCCCCCCACCCAAGCTGTGGAGGAGGACAGGAGAAGCACTTGATGCAGTTGTGTGAATAAACAGTATTTTTTCTTTTGTATGGCTCTGCCTGTCTTGTTACTTCCCAAAGAGGGAGCCAGGGCCAGAGGCCGAGGCTGCTTCAGAGCTGCCTTTGCTGCTGAAGGCCTGCCCAGTGAACCCGCAGAGGGTGCGGGTCAGCGCCTGGTTCCCTCTTCAGGTGACCCTGCTTGGGCCTCCCAAGCCTCGACTCTCCCTCTGGGTCTGGGGTGTGTCTGCAGGGCTAGGGGGGCATGCCCTTTTCCCCCTAAACTGTTCTGGTACTTAGGGTCCCAGCATCCTTTGCTGAGGCTGCTTTTGAACCTCTCTTCTTCCCAGAGACAGGCACTGGCACAGACGGGGTGGGCAGGGGTTCTTACAGCCCAGAAATCCCCCATCTTGAGAAACTTTTAATAAGGGGGTCTACCTGGAAGGAGCTGGCAGGCCTGGAGTCTATCCGGTGAGGGCCTCTTCCTCATAGATGGATGTCAAGTGGTAGAGGGAAACATGCTTCCTCAGGCATCTTTTTAAAGGGCTCTCCACCCTCATGACTTAATCATAACAGTAATAATAGCTTGATTTATACAGCTCTTTATTAAAACATGGGTCTTATTTTGTACTCTTTTCCATAGCCTGCAAATGTTCAGAACAGACCTGCCTCTGAGTTTAAAGCTAGGAGAGTCCAGCTGCCAACAGGGCATCTCTTGACCTGTCCATCTCCTAGGAACAGTATTTATACCATCTCCCTCACTGCCCTCACCCCACCTGCTGGTGTGGATGAGTCTGAATTGTGTACTCTAAACCCACAAGAATGAGATAGCCCCTTTACATTGGGTTCTAGATCATTTTCCAACTCCCTGCCTAAGCTCAAAGGGTTAATGGATGTCAAAGATTCTAACCCAAGGCTTGGGCTGAGAGGAATTTTGCAGAACCTCGAAACAATGGGGCACCAGCATCATGCTAGCGTCAATCTCAAACCCTGATTATTTAGTATTAACTAGCCATACAAGTTGTGGGATCGGTAAAGTGGTCCAGCACAAGGTAGGTGTTTGATAATCTTGATAATCACCATATGGAAAAGTAAACGTGCTTCCTCCCTTTGCCTTCAAGGAAACAATGAAGTCTGAGACCCTGGCTTTGGGAATACAGGCACAAGGATTCTACTTAGCCCTGAAGCTTTGGACTATGAAACTTGGGAGTAAACAGAGTCTGAGCAGAGACAGACCGCATCAGGAGGCTCCTGGGAGCTGGGAGCACTGGCTCAGACCAGTTGAGAGTGGTTTCTGGCAGTTGGCCCAAGAAGATTTTAGACCTTAGAGAAAGGGGGGCAGATAATGTACAAGACTGCAGTTTTATTCCCACACTTGAGAAGGTCATTGCTCTGCAGATGGTTTTGAAGGGGAATTTTTATTTTTTTTATTTTTATTTTTTATTTATTTTTTAATGCACTGAAGAAGTGGCCGGTTTGGGGACTGGAGAAGAGAGAAAGCCAAGATTGTTTGGAACTGTGGGGCAGTAGAAACTTCTGATTAGTTCTTCTTCAGCCACAAGGTGCTGAGAGAGCTCACCAGGCCTGAGAGGCTGCCTTGGAAAGCTGGGGAGAGTGGATGCTGTGTCAGTCCTGAAAGGGTCTCCTGGGGTGAGATCTTTCTGTCCCTCGAGGAAAACACCAGGGGTTGACCTAAGAACCCAGAAATGCTGATTGACCAGAATAATTGACTGAGAAGGGAAGCCTGGAGGATAGAAAGGTTCTGATCCACGAAGCCTGAGTCCTCAAGTCTGAGATGACTGAATTGTCTCAAGGTGTCGATAAGACAGCTCTACGAGGTGTTCCTTCTGTCAATTAAGAGCTAAGCTTCACCCATCACTGTGCGCTACGCTTTCTTCTAAATTTGCAACACATTGTCTCAGCTGGTCCTCACGATGATGTCACGAAGTTAAGAACTGTCACCACAGTCCCTTCACAGCTGGGATCAAGGTTCAGGGAGGATGAAGGTGCTCAGAGTCACTTTGTTTCCGAGTGGCAGAATCGGGACTTGAACCTGCGTGGGCTATCTCTAGAGCTTCTTTTGTGTTTAACCAACACCTCGCTCTGGATAGAGGATGGCGTCTTTCATTTAAAAAGTGTCCACTTTCAGGGCCTGAGCTAGGGAAACAAACTCTTCACAGAACGTTTCTTTGGGGGAAGAGGTTTGAGACGGGCACTCACCTATGAGACTAGCAATCATTCTCAGCTTCACCACAGTCCATAAAACTGGATTAGACCTTTTGTTATTGTATTTACTATGTTTAACAGGAGCTATGCTTTTATAGGTTGAATTAATGGGTTCGGAAATTTGGCCTGATGGTACCTATTGCTGAATTTCTAGGGCGTTGGGCCCCTGGGCCCCTGGTCTCCAATCCTGGAGCTCCAACTTCACTTTAGCTGCAGTGGGAAGAGAGGGGGAGGGGAGTCTGTAAGGCTGCGGTGGACCTGGACTGGGTCTCAGGGCAGGCTGTGTTCCATTGGGATGGGCCAGTGCTCAGGAATTCTTTTTGCCATCTCAGTTTGTTTTAGGATTATGAATAGGAATACCCTTTAAAATCTTAATTGTACTTCAAAATTTAAACTTAGGCTCAGACATTTCCAAGAAATACATGTCTATCTTTCTCTAAGTATTCTGCCGAGGGAAGATAAAGTTCCATGATGTCCCTGAATATGGCAGAGCTTTCTCTTCTAAAATGCTAGCGGTATTTCTGGTTTGGGAAATCCATTGCCTTCTATGGATGAGAAAACAGCTTCATCCAATAAGTCTTTTTTAAAAGATTTATATATTTAAAAATTTTTTTTTTCTTTTCTTTTCTTTTCTTTTCTTTTCTTTTTTTTTTTTTTTTTGAGATAGGGTTTCACTATGAATCCCTGGCTGACCTAGAGCTCACTATGTAGACCTCAAACTCAAAGATACATCTGCTTCTGCCTACTAGGATTTGGTCACTATAGACCAGTCGGGCCTCAGACTCACAGAGATCCACCTGCCTCTGCCTCTTGAGTACTGGCTTTAAAAGTGCGCCTCACCGTGCCTGACATTCATTAAATATTTTTAATATTTATGTATTTTATTTTATGTTTTAAGTGTTTTGCCTGCATGCCTATATTACCAAATGTGTGCCTGGTGCCTTCAGAGATCAGAAGAGGGCATCAGATCTCCTGGAACTAGAGTTATAGACAGTTCCATTATGTGAGTGCTGAGAACCCAATCTGGGGGCTCAGTGGTTAAGAGCACTGGCTGCTCTTGCAGAAGACCTGGTTTGGGTTCCCATCACCCCCATGGTGACTCACAACTCTCTGTAACTCCAGTTCCAGGGGATCTGACACCCTCTTCTGACCTCTGTGGGCACCAGCCATGCACATGATACACAGACATACATGCAGGCAAAACACTCAAGCATATAAAATCTATAAATCCTTTTTTATTAAATTTTTTCATTTATTTTACATACCAACCACAGTTTCCCCTCCCTCCTCTCTTCCCATTCCCTCTTCCACCTCCTGTTTACCCCCCACTCCATCTACTCCTCCTCTGTTCAGAAAGGTACAGGCCTCCCATGGAAGTCAACAAAGCATGGCATATCACTTTAACGCAGGACCAAGCTCTTCCCCTAGAATCAAGGCTGGGCGAGGCATCCATGCATGAGGAATAGGTTCCAAAAAGCCAGCTCATGTGCCAGGGACAGGTACCATCCCACTGCTAGGGATCCCACAAACAGACTAAGCTACACAACTGTCGTCCATATGCAGAGAGCCTAGGTCAGTCCTGTGAAGGCTCCCTAGCTGTTGGTCCAGAATCCATGAACTCCCATTAGTTCAGGTCTATAAGTCTTTTTAAAAAATAATAAAGGTTAGATGTATTTTCATGTGTAAGTGTGTATGTGCATATGTGCATGCTATGGTGTATATGTGGAGGCTGGCTTGTGGGAGTTGGTTCTCTCCTTACACTCTGAGTTCCCAGATAGAAATCAGGTTGGCAGCAAGCATCCGACCCACTGCTCCATCTCACTGGCTGGGACACTTAGTTGGGGTTTTTGTTGTTGTTGTTGTTGTTTGTTTGTTTTAGGTTTTTCAAGACAGGGTTTCTCTATGTAGTTTTGGTGCCTGTCCTGGAGCTCACTCTGTAGACCAGGATGGCCTCGAACTCACAGAGATCCACCTGGCTCTGCCTCCCGAGTGCTGGGATTAAAGGCATGCACCACCATTGCCTGGTGGGAGAGCCATTTTAAAGGACATGGGGAGAGAAAGCCTTCGCTCTGGCCTGGGATGAGTTCATCTACTGCTGTTGCTGCTGCTGATTTCGCTGACATTGGAACCAGCAGTTTTAGGCTTCCCATGTGGCCTGGCAGTCAGCAGTTCCCCAGGAATCCTTCAGGCATCCACAGTGCCAGGTGAGGACCACTGAGGCTCCAGTCTATGGAGTGAGCAACGACTGGGTTCTCTGCCTCTTTGGTGTGAGAAAGCCATTGTTGGACTTCTCTAACGTTATCATGTAAGTCAGTCTAATAAATTCCTTTTTACTGTACTTATTCAAGTCATCTGTCCCTTTAGAACCCCTGAATAATACACTAGAACTCACCCTTTAATTTCCTAAGCCTGAACTGCCTTGCCTATGAAATGAATTTAATGCTAACTTTTTTATGGATTGGTGAAGATGAGATAATATTTTAAAGCCATTAGGTCAATACTTAGGGAAGGCTCAGAACACATGAGACTGTTTGTGGTACTATTGTGTTCCCCAATGTATTGTGCACCCTAATAAATTTATCTGGGGTCAGAGAACAGAACAGCCACTAGACAGACATAGAGGCCATAAAACGGTGGTACTCACACCTTTAATCCTAGCTTTCTGGAGGCAGAAATCCATCCGGATCTCTCTGAGTTCAAGGCCACACTGGAAACAGCTAGGTGTGGTAACAAGAGCCTTTAATCCCAGGGAGTGAGGGCAGGAAGCAGAAAGGTATATAAGGTGTGAGGACCAGGAACTAGAGCTGGTTAAGCTTTTAGGATT